GCAGGTAGCCCGATGCGGGACTCGATCCTGGGACTCCAGGATCATGACCTGAGCCGAAGGCAGTCGCTTAACCAACTGAGCCACCCAGGCGCCCGCTGCTTTTTTTATTAAGTGCATTCCCCACTGTGTATATAGTAGGATAGCACAAAGCTAACATCTTACTAGCCTGAAGTGTCAGTAGACAAACATCAGAGCTGGCAAGAGAGCTGAAAATTTAGAGGCAAAACCCCAGAAGTAAGAGAGCCACAGAGAGGATGAACACTTAAACCTGAGTATAAACTCAAAGTCTTGGCTGACCTCTAACCTTTGTAGACCCAGGGGAGACCGCAGGGAGCCAGACTAAAAAAGCTATGTATGCAAATACATGAATAGCCAATAATCACATGAAAATGTGGATCAACATCATTAGTCATCAGAAAAATGCAAATTAAAAACAATGAAATATCATTGAAAAGGCTGACAATACCAAAAGTTGGCTAGGATATGGAGCAACTGAAACTCTCACATATTGCTAGTGGGAATATAAATGGTACGGTCACTTTGGAAAACATTCTGGCTATTTCTTATAAACGTACATTTAACATTATGGTCCAGCAATTGCTCTCCTAAGTATTTACCCAAGAGAAATACATGTCCTCAACTACTCATAGCAGCTTTCTATAGCCCCAAACTGGAAACAACCCAAATGTCCATCATCTGTTGAATGGATAAATAAATCGTGGCATATCCACTCAACAGAACTTATCAGCAATAAAAAGGAACAAACTACCAATACATGCAATGACATGGATGAATCTCAAAAACACATGGTAAATGAAAGCAGTCAGATATAAAAGAGTACATATATTTCCATTTATAAAAATATCTGGAGGCGCCTGGGTGGCTCAGTCATTAAGTGTCTGCCTTCAGCTCAGGTCATGATCCCAGGGTCCTGGGATAGAGCCTCACATCAGGCTCCCTTCTCCACGGGGACTCTCCTTCTGCCTCTGACCCTCCCCCCTCTCATGCTCTCTCTCCCTCTCAAATTAATTAATTAAAAAAATATCTAGAGCAGGACAAATTAATCAATGGTGACAGGAATTGGAACAGTGGTTGCCTCTGGGTGGGAGGTGAGAGAGTGAGAAGGCAGAAGCAGCAGTACAGATTGACTATAAAGGGGTAGGAATGAGAGAACTTTCTGAAGTGTTGGAAATGTTCTATATATTTTGATTGTCAGATTATGGTTGCATGCTGGTATGTATTTGTCAAAACTAATCAGACCATACACTCAAGATCTGTACATTTTACTATATGCAAATTATTACCCAGCAAAATTAGTTAATTTTTAAAAATGAACTGGGAATCATAAAAATTAGAAAGAAAGAAGGCAAAGCACATAAATACAGAACCATTTCGGACCATTACTTAAATTCAACATACAGTAATGTTATAAAGTCAAGAGAAGAATTGCTGGGTGTCTTTAGGGAGAAATAGCTAAGGGGTGAGATACCAAAAATTAAAACATATATTTGTGGTAAAGCAACACCTCCGTGGAAAAATTATTATGATACACTAAGGCCTTATTGACTCTTAACTATTCTGTGTCAAAGAAGTTTTGGCCGGGGCGCCTGGGTGGCTCAGGCGTTAGGCGTCTGCCTTCGGCTCGGGTCGTGATCTCAGGGTCCTGGGATTGAGCCCCGCATCGGGCTCCCTGCTCGGCAGGAAGCCTGCTTCTCCCTCTCCCACTCCCCCTGCTTGTGTTCCCTCTCTCGCTGTCTCTCTCTTTCAAATGAATAAATAAATAAAATCTTTTAAAAAAAATAAAGTTTTGGCCATCTTTTAGACTATCTATTGAAACCATGTGAAAATAAAATAGTAGGGAATTTGTATGACTCTATACCTTTCTATCCCAGCTGCCATTCCTTTCCAGATTAGGCAACTCTGGACTCAGATAAAGCTGAGATCTGAGATTAACGGCATTAATGTTTTACCTCTTATTATGCATTTTCATAATGCAGTATCATTTACGAAGTACTGTCACATACCATCTTATTTGGCCCTTTCTGACAAGAAGCCTGAGGGATTTGGTTATTCTCAGTAAACTGAGATTTTGAGTGGTAGAGGTACTTGCCTTAAAAATAAAACAAAACAAAAAACCATTCAGGTCTTCTAACTCTGAGAGCAGCTGGATTCCTGTCACACCATCACTTCCAAAAAGCATTCAGAATTCAGTCAGGATGAAAGACAATTTTAGCAATCATACACAAAATGGAGAAGTGAAGACACTAACGCTTTCCTGAATTCTGAAGAAATCTATAGGACACTGGATCCCTTTTCTGTAGGCCTCATTCACAATCTAAACATGGAACAGAAACCACAGAATCAACCAGTAGTAATCTCTTAAGACTCTTATGATATATAGTTGGTTCAGATTTCACAGAATTCTTTGATTAAAACGGGCTTCTTTACTCGGGGCACCTAGGTGGCTCAGTCAGATTCCGACTCTTGATTTTGGCTCAGGTCATGATCTCATGGTGTGAGATCGAGCCCCACGTCTGGCTCCATGCTCACCATGGAGTCTGCTTGAGATCCTCTCCTTCTGCCTCTTCCCCCACTCACATGCTCACTCTCTTTCTCAAATAAATAAATAAATAAATAGATAGATAGATAGATAAAATCATTTAAAAAATAATAAAAACATAAATTTAAAAAAATAATAAAATGGGCTTCTTTATCAAAAAAGATTAGGATAAGCTTGTATGATACTATCCTCAAAAGGCAATACCCTTATGCCAACATGAAGCTTTGCAAAGGGTAATTTTATCACTTCTGAGCAACAATACATATTATTATCTGTATATATATATATGTATGTGTGTGTGTGTGTATATACATATAAAATAACAAAGCCCCAGATACATGAAGGAAAAACTGAAAAAATTAAAGGGAGAAATAGACAATTTAACAATATAGTTGAACATTTCAATATCCCCATTTTTAATAATGGATAGTACACTTAGAAGATCAATAAGGAAATGGAAGACTTGAGCAACACTACCAACCACTATCCAACTCCTGATTTCAGTCAGGTTATGATCTCAGGGTTGTGAGATTGAGCTCTGCATCAGGCTCCGTGCTGGGCATGGAGCCTACTTAAGATTCTCTCTCTGCCCCACACCCCACACTCACTCCCTCTCTTTAAAAAAAAAAAAAAGATACTGATACAAATACAACATTCAAAGAGATTAAATGTTTTAAGATCACAGTGCCAAGATTGCAGCTTAACCCACCCATCCATCCATCCATACATTCATTCATCAAGTATTTATTCAGCTTCTGCTCCTGCCAGACACTGTTAGACACAGTAAGAATACATAATGCTTGCCCTTATGAAATTGACTTACAACCTATAAACAGGAAAAAAAATATCTGTCATATATCCACACAAGTAAACTGCAACCCATATTGAAGGTGCAAACAGCAAGGGCTCTGGAACCAAACTGATCAGTCTGAAATCTGGCTCTGATATAAATTTTAAGCAACTTAGTACCTCTAAGTCCTTATCAATAAATTAAGCATACTACCTACAACTCATAAATGTTAAGAAGATTAAATGAGGTAATATAAAGAGTCTAATATAGTATGGGACACATAGTAGGTACTCTGACAATAATTATTCTTTGAACACCATTAATATAACCACCACTTTGAGCCCTGAAACAGTCTTACCTCTGAGGCTGCACTGGAGTATTTTTTGAGGTGGTTCCCTTGACTTCCAGGGAAGAACAAGCATTTGATGGAATGGACTGTTCCACCAGATTTTCTTTTTCTGCCTCTTTGTAATAAGTGTTGTCAACTGTGGGAGAGCAAAAACTAGTCAGCACTCAAATCCCAAGGAAAAAGTTGGAGAGACATATCTATACATACATATCTATATGTGTGTGTGTGTGTGTATCCCTTCTAAGCAGTGGAACCATTAGTTCCAGTGACATCTTATACAGAAGACCAATTTATAAAATCTACTTTGGTTGAAGCAGAAATGTAGGATCCAAGGCCTATCTGCCAGCCTAAGTCACCACCTTAGAAAAAAGCATCTCTGACATTTAATGCTGATACAATCATATTATCTGGCATTATGGGTATAATCACCAGCTTTTCTCCCCTCCAGAAATTGAAAACACTAAGAGTTAAAAGATGTAGCATTTGAGAAAGGGGAAATAGGGGTGGGAAGGGAAAGGAGATATTTTATCATAAAGTATTCTGATGTTACCATGGCCATCATGGAACAGAAACAAAAAAGTACTATAAGAATAAGGAGAAAAGGGGTGCCTGGGTGGCTCAGTTGTTAAGCATCTGCCTTCAGCTCAGGTCATGATCCCAGGGTCCTGGGATCGAGCCCCGCATCGGGCTCCCTGCTCCGTGGGAAGCCTGCTTCTCCCTCTCCCACTCCCCCTGCTTGTGTTCCCTCTCTCGCTGTATCTCTCTCTGTCAAATAAATAAAATCTTAAAAAAAAAAAAAAAAAAGAATAAGGAGGAAAAAAAAATAAGAAGAAAGAACAATCAAGTAAAGGCTTCATGAAAGAAATAACATTTGCTGGTATAGCTTATGAACTGAGCCTTCATAAAAGAGAAAAAAATCCAACCAAATAAATGGAAGAAAAGTCAGGCTATGAAAACACATTTCATGCATTATTTATTCCAGAAAACAATCATTTGGCTCATTCCCTAAAGAAATTTTTTTCTGGAGGGGAGAAAAAGAAACAAAAAAAAATGATATTGTATTATGTCAAGGCTACAATAGAGGCACTTACCCCATTTAAAAGCAGAAATGATTACATTTTTAAAAATTTAATATAAAAATTTTACAGGGCACCTGACAGGCTCAGTCAGTAGGGAATATGACTCTTGATCTCAGGGTTGTAAGTTTAGGCCCCATGTTGGGTGTAGAGATTACTTAAAAATAAAATCTTAAAAAATATATATATTATAAACTGTCTACAAAAAATGCACTTAAAATATAAAGACACATCATGCTAGCACTAATCAAAAGAAAGCTGGAATGGATATATTAACATCAGACAATGCAGATTTCAGAGCAAAGACTATCATCAGAGATAAAGATGACCATTTCAAAATGATAAAATGGTCAATTCCTCAAGATGCCACAACAACCTAAATAGTTATGTACCTAATAACAGAGCTTCAAAATACACAAAGCAAAAAGTATAAGAAATAGATAAAACCATAAGTATAGCCTGAAATTTCAATCTCTCCCTCTAATTCATGGAACAAATTGACAGAAAAATCATAAGAATATAATAGTCATAAATAACATGAGCAAATGTGTATGGTTGTATTCCAATAAAACTTCATTAACAAAAATATGTTGCAGTCAACTCATCAAGAGGACATAACAATTACAAACACACATATATATGTGTGTGTGTATATATAAATATATGCATATATATATAAAATAACAAAGCCCAGATACATGAAGGAAAAACTGAAAAAAATTAAAGGGAGAAATAGACAATTTAACAATATAGTTGAAGATTTCAATATCCCCATTTTTAATAATGGATAGTACACTTAGATAGAAGATCAATAAGGAAATGGAAGACTTGAGCAACACTATCAACCAACTCGACCCAATTGACATTTATGTAACTCTCCACCCAATGACAGCAGAATACACATTCTTTTGAAGTGCACACAGAACATATACCAAGACAGACCATATTTTGGGCCATGAAACAATACATTTAAAAGGATTCAAGTCACACAAGTAATGTTCTTTAACCACAGTGGAATTAAATCCCTCAAGAGATCAGTAACAGAGACGATTTCTAGAACCATCCCCCTCCCTATATATTTGGAAATTAAATAACACACCATCCCCCTCCCTATATATTTGGAAATTAAATAACACACTTCTAAATAACACTTAGGTAACTTGGAACTAGTAGAAATACCACTACCAACACTCACTCAAGAAGAGATAACCTATATCTGTTAAAGAAATTGAATTTGTAGTTAAAAACCTTTCTTTCTGACAAATAAATAAATAAAATCTTAAAAAAAAAACCTTTCTACAAAGAAAACTCCAGATCCAGTTGGGTTCAATGGTGACTTCCACCAAATATTTAAGACGTAGTATCAATTCCATGCAAATTCTTCCAGGAATAATGAAAAGAAGGGAATATTTAAAGTAAGGCCAGCATTACTCTACCAAAATCAAACAAAGGCATCACAAGGAAAACCACAGACCAATATCCCTCATGAATAATATAAGCAAAAATTCTCAACAACAATGTAGCAAACTGAACCTAAAAACATATAAAAATAAAAATACCATCATAACCAACTGGGATTCATCCCAGAAATGCAAGGTTGGCTTAACATTGGAAAATCAGTGCAATTCAACGTATTAACAGACCAAAAAAAGAGAAAAATATCATATAATCATCTCAATACAAGCAGAATCTGACAAAATCTTGCATACATTACAAATTATCAGCAAAACAAGAATAGACGGGAACTTCCTCAGCCTGATAAGGGTATTTATGAAAAAACTATAGTTAACATCATACTTTTTTTAAAAGATTTTATTTATTTATTTATTTGAGAGAGAGACAGGGCGTGCATGCACACACAAGGGGTTGGGGGAGGGGATGGCAGAGGGAGAGGGAGAGGGACAAGAAGACTCCGGGCTGAGTGCAGAGCCTGATGCGGGGCTCAGTCCTACCACCTTGAGATCGCGACCTGAGCCAAAATCAAGATTCAGATGCTCAAGTGACTAAGTCACCCAGGTACCCCAACAACATTAAGTAATGTCATACTTAATAGTGAAAGCCTAAAGGCAACAACAGGCATGTCTACCCTTTCTACTCCTATCCAATATCCTACTAAAGGCTCTAGCCATGCAATATGCAAGAAAAAGAAATAAAAGGCATATTTGCAGATGACATGATCATCTATTTAGAAATCTGATGGAATCTAGAGGCACCTGGGTGGCTCAGTTGGTTAAACGTCTGCCTTCGGCTCAGGTCATGATCCCAGGGTCCTGGGATCGAGTCCTGCATTGGGCTCCTTGCTCAGCAGGCAGTCTGCTTCTCCCCCCTCTCCCCCCAGCTTGTGCTCTCTCTCTCTTCCCCCCCCACTCATACTCTCTCTCTCAAATAAATAAAATCTTTAAAAATAAATAAATAAAAGAAATCTGATGGAATCTATAAAAAAGCTACTAAAACTAATAAGTCAGTTTAGAAGGTAGCAGGATAAAAGATCAGTATACAAAAATTAATTGTATGTCTTTGTATTAGCAATACAATAGGAAATTGAAATTAAAATAGAGGTATGAAAACAACTTCAGGAATACAAATACGGGAAATCAGTTAGAGAAAAAAGGGTATTTGAGCTGGACCCTGAATGATGAGTAGGAACTTTTCAGATATATTAAGAGGCAGAGGAAACAACACTAATAGACAGGTGAGAATATGTAATATGAAAGAACAGACTCTGAGGGGCCTAAGGGGCATGCATGTAAGCAATGTGCATGGTCTTTGGCACATGACAGGCCCAGCAGAAGTCTCTTGCTTTGGGGCACACTGTTGACAAAACAGTCTTGAACTGACAAATTAGGTAGTATTACATATTCTTTCAATTCAAGAAGAGCACAAAGACCACCAAAGCAACAGAAAATCTGTCCCACATAATGAACGAATGAAATTCACCTGAGGACACAGCACTCAGGCCACAGGCATTCCAAGCATGTCAAGTGAAACACGCCATACAGTTCTAATCCCTTCTGCAAGAAAGATAATGGATGCAAAAGTTCAGGGTCCTTCTCTTGATCCCAAATTCAACAGATGTCATCTGTCCTCATGAATTAATTATTTGAAAGTCATCCTAGCAGCTTAGACTTTATAAACTAGCCAAGTTCACTAAAAATACAGCTATTTCCTGGTACGGCTCCTCTAGTTAATGGTCTAATTGAAGCCAGTTTCAGATTTACCTATAAGAGTAAATTGCAAATGTTCTAAATTAATTGTGGTGATGGTTGTATAACTACTCTATGAATGTAATACAAAAAACACTGAAACGTAACTTTAGGTGATCTGTACAGGTGAATTATATCTAAATATAGCTATTATTTTAAAAAAGAATCATTTTTAAGTATTTATGATTTCTTTAAAAATGCTTCTTTTGTTCTGATCAGACAATAATCTGCAGACTTAGTAACCACCAGTCTAAATGTCAATTATCTTTTAAAATCAGATACATGACTCAAAGAATCCTTGTACAATGACAAGCAGTACATTCTTCTCTCCTACTTTTTTCTTCCCAGTCAGACTCAGGTTAGGTTAAATCTTGTCATAAAAAGAAAAGAATTATATATCTGGCAATAAAAGTGGATGTTAGCTTAAGTTCCAAGAGATTAAAAAAAAAAAAGTATAGAGCATCATTAGTGTCACATTCACCATAAAATGAATTAGCCCACTTCACCAATAATAAAGCAAAGGATACAGCATTTAGGTAATTCCCCCAGATCCCTCAGGCTCTTAATATACCGTTCCACCATTCTACCAAGGACCTTTTTTCTAAGATGATCTTTCTTACCTGGTCTCAAAGGTGTGACAATAGCTTGCTGAGGATTCGGCTTCCTCAGAGGAGTTTTGCCCTGAAAAAGCCCTGCTATGCCATTCTTCCCAGGAAACTTATTCTCCAAATTGGCCTTCTCTTCTGTGAAAAGATTAAGAGTGTCACAATCAACAAGGAAGCAAAATAAATCAGTACCCTGCACTTAAAATGGGGCCTAAACCCCTCCACTCGTACACTTCTAATTCATTTGGCAAGTACAAACAAAGGTCTACTGATCAAAAGGAAATGAGTACACATTATACGTCAGAGATAGAGACTATAAAAACTATCAAAACTATCACTAAAACACTGGCAACACTGAACAATGTATCATAGAAAAGAAGTGCAGACTCTGCATTGTGAATAGCTACTTATCTTTGCTTGATACACATTTGGACCATACAAGTATGAACTGGCCTAATACATCAAGTTCCTCTTAAAGAAAACTGTAGCCATTAAGATCTGCAGGGCTTACAAGGGACATCTTATGGTCTATTTGAGTTGAGGTTCTTCTTCAGCTGGAGTGGCAAGAGGTGGGTGTGTGGGGATGGAACAGACCTAGGGCTCTCTCAAGGAATTTTATCTTAGGTTCTGCTGTGCCCAAAAGTTAGCCCAAAGCAGTGAAACGTCTCTTCTACCAACAGCCTACCAATAGACAGAAGCTTCAGGAATGTGGTGAGCCCCAGCAATAACACCGTGCATGCATACCCCCACTGCACTCTGTAAAAAGATGATTATTTGGAAGAGAATTAGAAAATAATATATTAGAACTAAGGTGGTTTTGAAAGAATAGTGGGATTAATTTTTTCTTCTACATTATATTTAATAGTATCATTGTACTAATATTTCTTATTTTGTTTTTAAAGAAACTTAGAAAAAGAAATAGATAACCCAGACTTTTCTCGGGGTTTCAGTAAAGCAAAGACACAGGGAACACCCCTGTAGGGCAGCTGGCCCCCTTCTCCACCTTTCCTCAACAGCACTTCCAACAGATCCCTCCTCTCAGGATCCCCACTGCATACCATTAAAGAAGAGAATGGCATGTACCATCACATTTGGATACTGCATTATTAGTAGTAAGTGCAGCTGCAATGGACTCATTTTTTTCTCCCATCACATACTGACTTTTTTTTAATACAGAGGATAAGGATATGAGAAAGAATAAAATGAAGAGATCCCAGGAACTACTAGCCTGATATATCAGTGGCCTCACCATATTATTACAAAGTAATATGAAAACATAACCACATCCTTATTTATTGTTGGACTGGTGTCAGAGTTTGTGTCAAATCATATGGCCCAACATCAGGCAATCTCATCTGTTTGGGGATTGGGTTCTGAGTACCATAATCCCTCCCGCCAAAAAAGAATTGGTAAAGGGAAGCAAGAGAGAGGTAACTGTAATTACAAAAAAGCACCACAAGAATCCTTGTGATGTTAGAACTGTTCAATATCTTGACAGTGGGATACACAAACCTACACAGGTGATAAAACTGCATAGAACTTACTACACAAATGAAAATGAGTACAAGTGAAACCGAGGAAATCTGAGTAAGATAGGTAGATTGTATCAAAGTCAATATCCTAGCTGTAATATTATATTCTGTGCCCAGTGACAGTAGAGCAAGTTTTTATGTGGCTGCCATCACTACAGACATGTTTTGAGCCCTAGAGTTTCACTCAACTTTGTTTCACCTGGATTTTCCCATATATCCCTAAAGATTAATACTTATTCTTAACTGCAAAAAGTATTGATTTGTTCCGATAGTCCATTTCCAAAACACTGGGCATTTCAATTATTTCTATCATATCATGGATGATAAACTATCTTGGTGTAAAAAAGAATTTATATTTTAGTTATTTTCTTGCAATTCCTTCTATTTTTTGAAAGGTACTCAGAACAAAGCAAGCCATAAACCCTTAAAATGGCCAGAGAGAGCAGACACTTACCAAACCAAGAATCTATGTTTTGGGTATCTTCCTCATCATCCAAAGAGGTAAAATTGATGAAGTCCGTGGGTGCATCATAGGAATAGGAAGTTTTAATTTGTGACATCGTCCCCTGCCTTGGCACAGAAGAGCAGGTTTTTCCCAATACTCGTGTCACTTTTTTCAACAGATCACGTTCTAATGAAAGAAATGGTTCAGAAACTTGGTTGCACATTAATCTAAGGTACTGATTCCCCAGCAATTACTTTACTTTTACTACTGCATTTGCAATTCTGAAAATGACCTGGACAAGTTGCCTTACTTTTCAAACCAAACTAAAAGTTAACTTTTCTTTTTTAAAGATTTTTTTTTTTTTTTTAAGTGGGGCGCCTGAGTGGCTCAGTCATTAGGTGTCTACCTTCAGCTCAAGTCATGATCCCAGGGTCCTGGGATCGAGCCCCGCATCCAGCTCCCTG